TGGTAACTCTAGAAAGAAGTGGAGCAGTTTGGTACCTTCTCACTGTATGAGCATGAGGTTGGTCTTGAGATATAATATGGTGATCTTGGAGCATCTTTTATAAAATATAGGGGGAAAGCTTCTGTCTGATGGGTGTACTAGTTGCTGGTGGTCCTAGCAGTAAGTGAATGCGTCCAGCAGGTGTTTTGAACAGGGAGTGAGCTCTTGAAGACATGAAGATGAGTCTTATGTTTTCCATTCACGTGCTTCTGGAAAAAGAGCACTAGTTATCCTTGATATGAGGAATTATACTTCTATCTAGGATCTGTTGCTGCAATAGTACAATTGTGTCTCAAGATTGGTTGTGGCTTCAAGCAGTTTGTGACTGTATGTCTCTAGGAGGATGGAATGTCATACTAGATGTTGTGACATTATGTTACCGCTCTAACTCATGGTGAACCTGACAGTGTTTTTTTTTCTGTCATTGGGTGTAAATGGATCAAATCAGGTATTTGGGCCTCTATCCAAGTATTTTGTCTTGTATGACTGATAAAGATGAAGATCAAGACATTATCAGCTCTGATTGTGTGCATTTGGAAGGACATTCACCCTGACATCTTGAAGAATTTTCTAGCTGAATCTGGGAGATCTTTTAGATAGTTATGTCTATCATGTGACTACCTCTCCTATAAGGTTTGGTTCTGGTGTGGGTTGTGAAACAAGGGGTGCAGAGTTGCATGTGTTTCCAGTAAGTCTCCATGTGCTTGGGTGGGGAGTGCTGATTATGCATGACAGGGGGAGCTATGTACCTGTCTGATGTGTAGCTGCATTACTTGTGTTGACATTGTGCTGATATGGAGCTGTGTACACGGTTTGTTGAGTCTCAGGCAAGCTTGTGTTCTTGGACCTCTAGTGAGGTCGTGATGTCAGACAAGATGTATTGACATTGTGTTGTCTGGTGTACTCTTCTATCTTGACACAGTGACTATGGGTCTGGCTTTGTGAGACTGTTGGTTTGTACTAGGTTTGTGCTTACTTCTTATGAATAACCTAGGAAACAACATTGGTTATTGCCTGGGAGAAATTATTTTTCTCTGCAGAATTTATGTGTATCTCTTGGGAGATTGTGATATAACTGGATGTTTGGACACCATGTGCAGTTTGACAACTGAGTCTTGCTTTGAAGCATGTTGGTTCTGATTCAGTTTTTGGGTTTGGCTCTGTTTGATGTATTATGAGCATATATATGTACATTTACTCCATTTTTTTTGTCAATTTTTGACTAAACCAAGGGGGAGTAAAGTGTTGTTATCTACTGCTACTACTAAGGAAAGAGTAGTAATTTGTAGTTGCTTTCTGAATGCAACTATTAAGGGGGAGCATTATAGTTTGTGAGGCTGGATATTTTTGAGAAAACTATTGTTGCTGCCCTGATAAGTTTAATTAGTTGTTTTAGCCAAAATTTGCCAAAGGGGGAGATTGTTAGTTCCATGATTCTATGATTGTCCATGGTTCTATGATTGGCTAAACTTTGGTAAAACATGATTCTGCACTAATGTTAAGCAAGATGTCATAGCATCTACATCTACTGTTATGACAGTACTGTTGTCATGTGTTTTAATTAAGATGTCAAGACATATGTCATGAAATCGCTGTCTGGTACAGCAGGAGCTGCTAAACATGATTCTGCACTGATGTTAAGCAAGATGTTATAACATCTACATCTACTGTTATGATAGTACTGTTGTCATTAAGATGTCAAGACAGATGTCATGACATTGCTGTTTGGTACAGCAGGAGCTGCTATTTTATATCTCTTGACAGAGGTGTTTTGGTTTGGTGAGATCCTATTGGATATACCTCATCAGTAAGTGCAGGTCAAAGATATTTATTAGGAACAAAGTGCAGATTTGATTGGTGTTCATAAAAAGGATCTTTGAGGCCTTTTAGGAAACTATAATATAATTTTATCTACTGTTATGAAGAAGATTCTGCAGAAGAATTGGAGTTTGACTTGACTGTGTACTGCAGGGTAAGTTTGGTTAGCTAGAACGGAGTATACTGGATGTCATGTTGAATGTTATGACATCAGGTATCTGCCAGCAAAGGAGCTATTGGTTTTCTGTTATGGTTCCTGATTTATCTCAGGCTAAATTTCAGGAAACCTGGTAGGGTTCCTTAGTTATCTCAGGCGAGATTCTAGGCAGTGCAGAGCATAACATGGAACGCTGATGACCTATTTGATAGCACCTTGAATTATGGAAAGTAGCTTAACTAACCTAATTTATGCTACTAAGGCCCAAGCCCAGTCTGCATTATTATTTAAGGAGGCACAAAAGCAAGGAAAAGTAAGCATTCACAACAAGAAGATCTTCAGTGCAAAATAAGGGTTTAGGGTTTTGAGAGTCTTTTGTGTGTGACTTTGTAAGTCACCCTTTGTATCTTTTGATGCATCGTGGTTGACATATTTAGGGTGTAAATTGTTGATTGTTAATTGTTCACTCAAAGCTTGTAAGTAAGAGTGTATTGTTCTTGATTGAAGCTGTTAAGCAAAATCAAGTCGTGTGACTTTGAAGAGTGTCTTCTAAAAGTCTTCTTTTTGTATTGAATTGTTTACCACTACTGTGATTGAGGGAGAGTGAGAGGTATCTCTTGTCTAATGGGTTCTAGGAAGAAATTGCATTGGGTAGAGATTAAGTGAGGAGTTGTAAATTAGGAGTTTAGCTCTAAATTAATTCTACTAATAGTGAATTTCCTTCCTGGATTGGTAGCCCCCAGATGTAGGTGATGTTGCACCGAACTAGGTTAACAATTCATTGTGTCATTTATCCTTCAGCATTTACAATTCTGCACAATTTAAATGGTTAGATAAATAGTTCTGTCAGTCTACAGATGTTACAACAGATGTCATGACATTGTTAATTTTAAAAGGGATTTAAAATGGTCATGTTCTGTCCTTGTTTTGTTTTAGTAGAGATTAATGTTCTTAGCATCTCTTAGGACATATGAGATCTGCATACCAGAATTTCAACTCCTATCCTTACTAACCTCATCAGATTATCGTCTAACTAGATGATCTCAAGGTCTCTATCCATAACTAGTGTTAGATCTTTCCCTTTGATCTCAATTGAGAGTCCTATGTCATCTCTTAACAGGGTTTCTTCTTTCTGAAAGTTGTGGTCAGCTCCATTTGTCGCTCTGCTAACTTCACCGGCTCTTCCTTCAAGGACGAAGATAGTTGCTAAGGAATTCTTCAGTATCACTTTCTGTGTTTGACAAACTCCACGAAGGGGAATAGATTAACCATAATCATTGTGGTACTTAACTTTAGATAAACCACGTCGTTTAGGGTTGAAAATGTGAAATTGTGGATTGAAAATCATACATTTTTCTTCTTAAATTATAATATTTATATAGTGGAAAAAATTGAGTCTTATATTCTGAATCTTCACAAAGCTTAATTTGCCAACATCAATTCAATTTTTTTATATTTATTTTAATTGAATTAAGAAAGTTGAGATTTACATGTTTTTATAATTATATAAAATTCAAAAATAAATTTAAGAAAAAAATATTCAAAATAGTACAGAATAGATATGTATCAAATCTTATCTTATACAATCAAACAATACTATTCTATTTTTTTTTGCTCTTATCTTATACAATCAAACAATACTATTCTATTTTTTTTTTGCTCTTATCTTATACAATCAAACAATACTATTCTATTTTTTTGCGCTACCAAAGGATTGTTACAATGAACTATAAATTAAATATTTATTATTTAACTATTTCATTTTAAAAGAATGTTGATAGTCACTAAAGATTACATAAATAAATAAATAAAAAGATGAACCAAACTGCAATAATAACTAATCCGCCATTTTAATGCTTTATTTTTTTTCGCGTATATAAATTGTATAAAAAAAAATACATTGATTTCTTCCTTAGTGTTATTTTATATCATAGCCTGTGAAAAAAGATACTATACCGATATATTAGTGTAATTCAATAATTAATGCATTTATATCTGAATATTTAGTATAGATTGTAAAAAATATATAATAATGAAAAAATAATTAATGAATTTAAAAAAAAATGTTTTATAAAAAAATACAAAGAAAATATTCAAATCACCAAGCGCTGTATTCTTGGCAACAAGTTTGAATCTTTCTTGGGAAGTTTCCACGTAACAGGGAAAGTTTGTTATTTAATTTCAAATCATGAAGCTATATATACAACTATTGAATTTAAAAATGTGACTTTATATATTTTCAAGAGTACAGAGTTCATTATGGATGAACATTATTGTAACGCACATCCACATATGTCTTCAATTGATTTTGATTGATTCTGATGAATTATGGGTTTTTATGTGACGAAAGATAAAGAAATCATAAAAACTATTGTTATAAATTTGCTTTTTGAAATTGATGTTCCTGAAGCTGCTTTTACCATGGTGGAAAAAGAAATTTCACAATGTGTATGTGAGATGATTGACGGGGCATACAAGAACTCGAGGAATCGAGTTGATTTTTCTGTTACACGGAATTTTAAAGAAGAGGAAATAAAGGTCGAAGAAGATGAAGTTAATACATTGGTTCATGCTGCTACAAGGACTATTGAAGATGGTCCCAATGAAAGTGGTTATCAAGATGACTGGGACTATTATTGGGCTCAGGATATGGATATTGAAGTACAAGGAGACGATGCGTTAAGAAGGACAGTTGAAAATTATCAGAATGAAAATGTTAATGGGGCATATAAGAACTCTAAGAATCTTTCTATTAGAGTTGATTTTTCTGTTACACGGAATTTTAAAGAAGAGGAAATAAAGGTCGAAGAAGATGAAGTTAATACATTGGTTCATGCTGCTACAAGGACTATTGAAGATGGTCCCAATGAAAGTGGTTATCAAGATGACTGAGACTATTATTGGGCTCAGGAGATGGATATTGAAGTACAAGGAGTACAAGGAGACGATGCGTTAAGAAGGACAGTTGAAGATTATTAGAATGAAAATGTTAACGGGGGCATATAAGAACTCGAGGAATCTTTCTATTAGAGTTGATTTTTCTGTTACACGGAATCTTAAAGAAGAGGAAATAAAGGTCGAAGAAGATGAAGTTAATACATTGGTTCATGCTGCTACAAGGACTATTGAAGATGGTCCCAATGAAAGTGGTTATGAAGATGACTGGGACTATTATTGGGCTCAGGAGATGGATATTAAAGTACAAGGAGACTATGCGTTAAGAAGGACAGTTGAAGATTATCAGAATGAAAATGTTAATGGAGATACACAGAGCTATAATTGGGAAGAGGATATGGGAATTGTTAATGACGTTGAAAGTGATGAAGATGAATGGGAATATGGTTGGGAAGAGGGAATTGAGATTGAAGAAGATATTAGATTTGTTCCTGCGGCTAAATCGTGTATTGAGGAATTGAAGGCAGTAACAACTAAAGAAACAGAAAAATGTAGTATTTGTTTTGAAGATTTTAAAGTTGGTGTCTGTATGCCATGTTCACATATGTTTCATATGGATTGTATTCAAGATTGGTTGAATATAGACAACTCATGTCCTTTGTGTAGGTTTCAGTTGCCTACTAATAAGAATTAAGTTACAGTTTATGATTACTTATCCAATGAACAAAAGCACATTAAGCAGATAGAATCTAGCAAGATATGTATAAGCCATCTTTTTGCATGTTGCAGAATGAGAGTAAATAGAACAGAAGATTATAACTTGTACACTTTCATTCTGCCCATATAACAATTACTACAAGCCTTAGGTAACACTCTTGACCGAGGTTTTAAAATGTCATTTACAAATTATTCACCGTTTTATACCTAGAATAAATTACAAACTAAAAGCCATTATAACCGCAACAAAACACTGTTCAGGCCATAAAACACCGTTTTGGATGCAAAAATTTGTATGAAATTATAAATCACAGAAAATATTACTTATTTAATTTTATTTTAGTTATTATATTTTTATTATTTTTATTTTTATTTAAATTAGTTTAACTTATTTTATTTGAACACTTATTTAATTTAGGTATTCTTAATTATTTTAATTTTATTTTAGTTATTATATTTTTATTATTTTTATTTTTGTTTAAATTAGTTTAACTGATTTTATTTGAACACTTATTTAATTTAGGTATTCTTAATTATTTGAATTTTATTTTAGTTATTATATTTTTATTATTTTTATTTTTGTTTAAATTATTTTATTGTAACTTTAATTTTTTTTAATTATTATTAAATAAAAGTCGAAATGAAGTGTACAACTATGTTATATTAATATATGTATTATCCATATTGTTGTATTAAGTTGTGAACATACTATTAGTTTATTGAATAAGCAGTTCAACCATGGGTTTAATCGGTTGAACCAATTAAAACTTAAATCGGAAGTTTCACCAGTTTAATCTTCGATTTAGTTTTTAAAACATTACTCTTGCTATGTGCTAAAACTGTATTGTCACACCCTCATTTTAACCTTAGTCTTTCATATCCTACATTCATCATATCACACATCGTTCTAGTGCATATCGAACATGTGAGTTTACAAGGTAAGGATTTGGTCGGTTCGTTGGTTTCCACTTCAAATAAGAGAAATTGCCTATCATGGGCTACATTGAAGAAAGGTTCATCATCTAAGGTTTGATTCAAGTTGAAAAGTCTACTCATTTAGATTTCTTCAAAGAGAAGTTAGTTGAAAAATATTGAAGTATTCAAGGTCAATGTTCCTAACGAACATGATTGGCAAGGCCTAATTCAAGATTTCTTCATTCAACTTTATTTTAAATTCTATGTTCAAGTGGAATTCAAAAGATTCTATCATTCCAAATTCAAGATTCATGAATTCAAGATTAGATTCAAGAATATCACAAAGGGAAATTTCATGACACTGCAAGAGTGTAACATTTGTTACAAAGTTTCCAACTCTAAGTAATGCTTAGAAAGTTAAGCTACTTCTAATATTAATTCAAGTTTCTAATCAACTTCATGCTATGGTACCCTTCATGTCTCATTAAGTCTACATGTTTCACATTATGCCTTTACATGATTCACAACCAAATAAGGCCACAAACATCCAAGGAAAATAATTAAAGTTCAATTCAAAATTAGAACATTTCAAAATCAAGACCATTTGTGCTTATCCATGGGCAATTTCAAGACATTTTCAAGTTAGTCCAAAACAGCTCCGTGCATGTCCTAAGCAAGAAATGACAAATTATCTCATAACCAAACAATTCATGTCACAAAACCAAAGGAATGAACTCATAACGATGCATCTAAATATCAGAATTTTGATATGCTGTCAAAGGTAGAAACTTGGACCACAAGAGCAGTCTAAGCACAAGCAAACAAATGTGTTCAGGTTTAGAAACAAGACAAAATGCAGCAGAAGAAAAAACAGGCAAGGCAAGTGTAGCAACAAAAATACAGCAAAGCAGAATTCATGGAAATGGAAAGAATTGGGCTTGGCATCAAGAAAGTGATGAGAAGCATATCCCAATGAAAAGATTTTGCAGCAAGCAAGTGAAAGAAACCCTATTGTTTGACTATAAGGAAGGGAGCAGCAGTAGGTAAAGGGGGCATTGAGAAACATTGAGAACATCATTAATAAAAAAGAGATTGACAAAGAAGAAAAAAAAAACCATTGAGAGAACAAGAGAGTGATATAAAATCAGAAAAAAGAAGTGAATCATAGAGCACATCCAACAAAAGCCATTGGTGATTAAAAGGAGAATAGTAGCTCTTAGGTATCTTTTCTTTCAAACTCTTCTCTCTTTACATATTTGCATGTTTTTATTTTTCTCTCTTAAATAATATTTGTGTTGTACATATTGTAATAAGGTCTCAAGAGTGACCAAGTACTATTGTGAAAAAAAAAGGGAGAACATACTTTAGTTTTTGTAGTGATTTGAGTTGAAAAATACTCATTGTGTTATCATGTTCGCACTGCGAACATATCCTTCGCCTAACGAACATCACTTTGTGGCACTCAGAGTGCCACTGAGTAACCAGTTTTCTCTTATTTTTAGTTAGCGAGTTGTTCGCTGGCACCTTAGCACTGCGAACTTTGGCACATTTTGCCTCTGTTTGTGAATAGTGTGTGTTTTGTGGGATTTCTCAGCAAGTTCGCACATCGAACTTTTCATAGTTTTCAAAAAAAAAATTCAAGAAGTTCGCTTGTTTTTTTTTCATGTCTTGTTTTTATTCGTATTTTCAAGCCGATTAACCCGATGTGGTTGTACGGCCTTTGTATGTGGGTATTATTATGGTCATTTTTGACTTTTGGTTCCAAAAAATATTTTCAAAAATAAACTCTCGATTTTATCGAGCCATTTTCAATCTTGTAAGTCGATTGTCTTGTGCGTCGCCATCGACCTTGTTCGCATCACTTCAAATATTTTTACAAACAATAAAACCCTTGATCCAACATCAAGTGGTATTTTTCTCATAAAAAAATCCAAAAAAACAATAAAGATACAATTGGAGTTATACGCCATGAGCTTTAAAGTGATGGAGAAGGAATGAGAATGGAGTCACTCCTACACTCGTCCGAATATTTTGAATACAAGGCGCTCGACTTGGATATTCGAGATATTCATCTCTACCCAAAGTCTTTAGTGTGATCCTAATCAAGAACAATTTCTTCTCAAAAATCCATAAAAATAACATCAACTCATCAAACTTCTTTTTCGCCTTAGGGCATCATTCGAAAACCATTTTTCAAGGTATAAAATCAACCAACACACAATCATTTCTCAAGTGGTTGAACTACGGCTGCTCTGATTTCTCATACCTATTGAAAATACGTAGACATAGGATTGTGATGATCCTAGTGAGCACTCTTCTTTCTTTTCCACCTTTAGTCCTCCATTCCTCATCACCCAAAAAAGGACATGTCACGTCCGTTCTATCACAAACAGGTAACGTATAAGACTCCACGAGTGAGCCGCAATACATCTAACTGCTAGAATGCGCACGATAGCATCGTCGACAAAAAAATCCCATTTTCACCGTAGTCCCGTGAACTACGAATGCTCTGATTCTTCAGTTCTTATAAGTGAATATACATAAGCACAAGGGCCCCAATCCTTGGCGAGCACTCTAATAAACAACCAATCCCTCTCTCCCTTAAGCAAGCGAACTTTTAGATTAAAAACATCCATTCAAGCTAAACAATTTAGAAGGTTTCCGTCGAGTACGATGGATGTGAGGGGTGCTAATACCTTCCCCTCACATAACCGACTCCCGAACCCTAAAAATTGGTTGCGATGACCACGCTCTATTCCTAAAGGTTTTATCGTTATTTCCCTTTCCCTCCTTGGGATAAATAAAATCCAGTGGCGTCCATGTCATTTTTCGCGTAACGACATGTATCATGTTATAATTCAAGTGAGTATGATGCTTATACTTGGGTATTCTTTCTCTCCCTCATTTGAGAGCATGAAGTTGCAGTTGTAATAGTACTTTTCCCTCTCAACTTTTCCAGGCCAAAAGTCTACCTTCTTTCTCATCATATTTTTGAAGATTGAAGAATATATCCATTTCCTTTATCCAAATTCAATATCTTGCCATTTCCCCTGATGTAAAATCTTCTATTAACATGGAACATTCTCGAGTTGCCTTCATTTCATGTTTGCATGGTTTTTATACTCGTCACAGATACATATGTCAAGGATTCCTTCGCACCAGTCACTTTGTTGAATGTTCATGTTCATTTTCATTTCTCATGGCTTTCAAATCGTTTTTAGACATTAAATGGATGAAGAGAATATATGTGCAAATCTCGTGCTTTCTAATAGCTTCTGTGTGATGCCTTCGTCGTGACTTTTTCATGTTCATGATTTCAGTTCTGCGGAAAATCATGCCAATACCACCAATTCTTATGAGTGATTTAAAGCCAGATCAAAATGTTTGAAAAAAATATATTCGTTGTGTCGATCTATGGATCATAAAGAAACACAATGAACAAGATACCAAGGTTTTGATTTTGTACTTGCTAAATTGTCTATTTTTTTACAAGTTTAAATTAAGGGTAAAATATGTTTTTAGTCCCTATAAATATCTCAAAATCTAGTTTTAGTCCCCAAAATATTTCCGTTCAAAGAATCGTTCTCACAAAGTTTTATGTCCCTATTTTTCGTCTCTATCGTCTATTCCACTTAACAGAAGTTGATGTGGCACGATACGTGACAGTGATATCTATCAAAGATGCTGACGTGGCATGCCAAGTAGCTAACGTCAAGAACACACTTGAAACCATAAAAAATTGTAGCTAAAACGTAGTTAAGGACATAGCCAATTCCTAGCAAATTCATTGCAGGAATTATGGTCTGAAAAAATGCAAAAAAAATTCAATTGCAGAAAAGTTTGTTATATTTCTGATAACATGAAAATATATCATATAATTCGAACTGATTCACATACTATTTAGTGTCTTTTTATTATGTTTTTGTAGTATTATATCGTGTTATGTTTGTTTTCAGGTAAGTAGCCAAATGATAGCCATTCACGAAGAAACAAAGCAAAACAGATGAAAAATGGAGATTTTAGTGTAAATTGTACACATGGAATCCCACATGGCATTGGCCA